ACCACGGGTATCGAAACCCGGATTCTAGCGTTGTAAGTCCACAGACATACCGCTGTGTCACTGGGGGGCAAGACAAGAATAGTACAAGATTTGACAGTTGATGCTGTTGACTAGCTGATAAACAGTAAGATTATTTTTATTCAAAAACCGAGTATTAAAATTAAAGATTATCTAACGAACGTTTATTCTGACAACTTTAACAACGGAAGCATCGACAAATATCATTGCGATAGCACTAATATGGGCGAAATGGAACGCAACGTAAATATTAGAATCAAAGAACATGATACCCAGTCACACACGTTTACGAACACAAATCGACACCCAATCAACTTTAGAATATTACGTAAAGAGAACAATATTAATAGAAGAAAAATAAAAGAAGCGTAAAATTATTCGTGAAATAAAACCTAACTAAAATTAAAACATAGATGTCACCCTATATGTTTTCTAAATTGGAACAAAATGCTCGCGCAACTTTTTAATATTTCGTGTAATAGACGACGGTTTACCTGATGATGACCACACGAGTGATCGAAATGTTGTTTTAAATTCCAAAAAATAAAAAAATCCATTCAAAAGCTGTATCTCTGGACTTTTTAATTAACTCTCAGATCAAATTTGGTGAATTATTGGAGAAATAAAATTAGATTGTTCAAAACGTAGTTGGTTAAAAGTAATTAAATCTAAAAGAAAAAATCTTGCTGAAGTTCTTAAGAACAACTATAACTTTAATTAGATCTTATTTTAGTGCCTTCCTAGTTATTTAATTTACATTTTATAGATAGATAAAACTATCTCATAATCGTTTTCATAAAAAGTGTTGATATTCAAATATTTAAGCTTTGTTCAAAGGTGATTTATATCGCTGGAGGTGAAGCTTTACAGAGTTTTTTTAAAATATCAGCACTTGTCTATTACATGCAGAAAACGTGGCTTTCCTGACGATATGTCAACACATGGTCTTGTATCAGCGTTGTGTACCATCTGTATGTCCATAGGGTGAGTAGGAAACTCATTGTTTCATACAGTATATAAACTAGATGTATTACTGTAGGGTTCTCGAAAATGTTGTTTGAAGAGTAAATAAATCCAAAGTTAAGAGTAACAAATATTTTTTTATTTCTTGCTTTTGAAATTCGTATGTCATGCTGTGTTGTAACCTACAGAGTGTATAATTCTTCTCGTGATTCATGGCATGCGCACGTTTTACTGACGTCACTACAACACAAATTGTAACGTTAAGCGTCCCTTAAGTGACATCATTTTAGTGTCTACTTACTGACTGACAGACAGTACACTACTGTATATTGGTGTGAATGGTTAAAACAGGTGACCCCCTCTTTCGGGGAAATAACGAGAGTCCGAATATAATGTCGAATCATTATTGATACATTTTTCATTATTGCGTTTTACTGTAAAGAATTACTGCGAGCCATTGTTTATGTCTTTTTTTATGTGTAAATTTACTTCTGTAGAAGACTAGCTTTATTTTTCGGTTCGCAGATTCCCGAAACCGGTCTCATTTAGCGAATCACAGAATAGATTAGGTCTCTCGTTTGTTTCTCACAATTTTGATGATGAAAATCAGCTTTTGTTTTCGTTTCTGTAAAAAAATGTTTGTTTTTATCAAAAAAAGGTTTTAGTTTTGGTAGATCTAGAAAGTATGCCAGACACACTAGTAAAGTCTTCCGTTTCAGAGATTTTAAATTTTAATATGGAAGAAGTACGTTTCAGAATTAAGTTTTATAAAATTAAGTATAACCTTTTTTTCAACCTCACAATAATCATTTCACAAAGTATCTCTGGTTTGACTAATTAATGGGGCGTTTGATTGCATTGAGTTACCACAAACATGTATTTAATTACCCAAAGCAGAGTTTTCCTGGGGAATTAAAATTAGATGGGTGTTCGAATTTTCAGGGGGGTGAGGGCAGAGGGGTTAGATCTTGAGGGCGAAGATGGAAAATCCCTGACATAAAGTAAAGAGCCAGCATAGAAAGAACCTGAATAAAATTAGTATATACGATTTTGTAACTGGTTTCTAGTTCGATATTCTGACATAAAACATCAACTAATTCTTAGCACGTTGTTTATTCACTGTTGGAGCTCACTAGTAACACTTATGCTTTTGAGAACCTTACCAAGTGACACTCAAGACTTCCCTGAGGTCAAAATTAATCGGCAATTAGTATTTAATAATGACTAAGTAGGAGTTAATATTTAATTGATTGTTTAGGCTACTAACAATAACATCGAGGGAAAATACATTAAGTTCAGTTATAAAGATAAGTAAAGTATATAATTACACATTAAGCACATTACACATTGCATACCTAAATAACTGTGTATTAGTAGTTAAAACACCGCCAGTGCTTAATAATCTCTGTTTTACAATGTATTTGTAGGTCTATAATCAAGTTGCAGTGTTTAAGTGTTAGCATAGGCGGCAGAACATATTTGAATTGTGGGGGGGGGGAGCACTGATTATTGGGGGCACCTTATTAGCTATGTTAACAGCGACCGTGTGTATGCTAGTGTTACATGCTGGAGTAATAACAACTTAAGAACATATATGTATATGCTAGTGTTACATGCTGGAGTAATAACAACGTAAAAACATATATGTATATGCTAGTGTTACATGCTGGAGTAATAACAACGTAAGAACATATATGCTAGTGTTACATGCTGGAGTAATAACAACGTAAGAACATATATGCTAGTGTTACATGCTGGATTAATAACAACTTAAGAACATATATGCTAGTGTTACATGCTGGAGTAATAACAACGTAAGAACATATATGCTAGTGTTACACGTTGCAGCATTACCAATACAGTAACGCATTGCAACCATCTCTTGCTTTATTTTTCACGTAGTTTGTATATTTTATAACGAGTGTTTGAACTTGAATGCCATTATTATAGACTATAGTGGTCACAGAATTATCAGACGTTAAGTAAACACGCACAAAAAATGTGTTTAAGAAATTATCGTTTTTCTTTCTTTAAGAAAGATCTTGCTGTTTTCAAGTAAAAACTATTTGTTTGTCGTGCAGAGCTTTCATTGGGCCAACCATCGGTGGATACCTTTTGGAGCATTTAGGCTATCGTCAATCCACGTTCATCCTTTTGATTATGGAAGTTTCTTTGGTAAGGAATAAGAACATAAAAAACACACTCTAAGTAACTTAAATATATACGTTGCATTTGAAAGTGTGTGAAAATAGAATAAACAACTTAGTAATGTTAAACAGTAGCATGCCACATCTTTGTGTTATACGTTATTTTGTTATAAGGTTTAGAAAATATATGTTGCAATTTTGTAACACAATTATTTGTTATTATTATTGCTACGTACACGTACAAGCTTAGCTGATAGGTGTCGCTATTCGTATATTTAAGTTATTGCTGTAAAAACTCTATTTGTTGTCGAACATAAAGCCGCATAATGGGCTTTGTGTGGAGGAATCGAACCCTGAATTTTATCATTAAAAGCTCTCAAACCTACCATTTTGGAACGAAAGTCCAGTTGAAAATGTTTATAGGAATTTGTAAACGTTGTGCTGTTCAGGTTAGTCGGTGTTGGAGAAAATGTAAAAGTCTTAGTAAAACAGAAATCAAAACAGCTACCTTTGAATTTAAAATGAATATTAATAATTGGCAAATTTTAAAATGGAATTAATGGCTGATTCTCCTTTTTCGTTCGGATATTTTCAAATCTTAGATTTAACTATGTGTGTGAACTACTTCTATTCCCTTTGAACACTTAAACGTAGTCGAGAAGACTGACTTACTATAATGAACGTAACGTGTATATATGTATCTACGTATATGGCCGAAATACTAAATACAATGTGGCGCCATCTATTGAATGGCACTACAAACAAAAATCCATAACAAATTTCACACTTTGGGTATTCAAGATTCAGACAGAAAAATAACTACGGTATGTACAACAACTATTTCTTTATCACAGAACACAATTTCAAATAAAGTACTCTCCTCACAACAAGAACACGACTTTCACTAGGACTGTACGTGAGGGTTTGATTATATCTTTGTTGTTGTAATTTGTAAATATAGCACTAAAAAATGGAGTTTTTTAAAAATGTAAACTTAAAAAACTTTTGATATATAAAAACATTACAGTTTATATCAGCACAATCCGAACACGCAGTACTTCCCCGAAACATCCTTTTTTTTAAAGAAAATGTTCACTTTTCCATTTTTTTTTTCAATGAGGTCTGGATACAACGATTAGTAATTACTAGTACAAACTGCCGCCCGTAGGGTGTCGTTTCTGCTAGTTTCTCACAAATTTTAGATTCGAAACACTTATATAATTCATTTAATTTGATATACATATATATTTCACCATGCATACTTTCTGTCTTTCGTCTGTCACCTTCTGTTCTAGGTATCGGTATTTAGGTCTTTTAGACCTGGGAGGGCCAGGTTCAAAGATCTCTTCCGCCCTCCTGCACTTGATTAATATATGTTCAATATTTATTTAATTACTTCAAGAGAGCCATAGTTTAGCTAGTCCACGTTTTCACTCTGACCCCTTTCGGGGCCATGTTCATGTATGTAATTATATTAATATTGATGTGTTAATACACTTTCACGAAATTCGATTGTGTTAAAGTTCACACTACACGAACAGTTCCAGTTATATTGTTCACATTTTTTAATAATTTCAAATTTCGGCAAGAATATTCACACCTAAAAACCCTTTTTTAATGCTTTCACAGGAAATTAAAATTATTGATGGTATTATAGTGTATATATATATTTATACAACAGTATAAATCTGTTACGGAATATCTACTAAATGGTAAAACACCGACGCATACATCGTATACGTATGGAAGTAGTGATTACTAAATGGTAAAACACCGACGCATACATCGTATACGTATGGAAGTAGTGATTACTAAATGGTAAAACACCGACGCATACATCGTATACGTATGGAAGTAGTGATTACTAAATGGTAAAACACCGACGCATACATCGTATACGTATGGGAGTGGTGATTACTAAATGGTAAAACACCGACGCATACATCGTATACGTATGGAAGTAGTGATTACTAAATGGTAAAACACCGACGCATACATCGTATACGTATGGAAGTAGTGATTACTAAATGGTAAAACACCGACGCATACATCGTATACGTACGGGAGTAATTAAATACTGGACTTGTGTTTATTGTTGTAAAATTTAAAGTAGGGCAATATGTCGACAGCGATCACACTTGCCGATATGGTGTGTCTTCAGTCTCACCTCCCATAAAAATAAACCCTACAAAACAGAAAAATGTAATTATAAAAAAGCAAACTGGGACAAATACTACTACCAAAATACATTATCCTTAATGCAACGGAGCAGACGGAAACTGATGCATACTGTCAAACAATTACAGAGTGCCTTACCAAAACAGCTGAAGAAACAATATCAACACACAAACACTTAGCAATAAATCAAACATGGCAACCACACACACAATTACTAGATATGATCAGAAAACGACGTCAACTCAGAAGACAATACAAACAAAACGGAGACCCAACAATTAAGACAGGCCCGGCATGGCCAGGTGGTTAGGGCGTTCGACTCGCATTCCGAGGGTCGCGTGTTCGAATCCTCGTCACACCAAACATGCTCGCCCTTTTAGCCGTGGGGGCGTTATAATGTGACGGTCAATCCTACTTTTCGTTGGTAAAAGAGTAGCCCAAGAGTTGGCGGTGGGTGGTGATGACTAGCTGCCTTCCCTCTAGTCTTACACTGCTAAATTAGGGACGGCTAGCGCAGATAGCCCTCGTGTAGCTTTGCGCGAAATTCAAAAACAAACAAACAATTAAGACAAATAAATGTTATAAGAAATAAAATAAAACCAGAAGTAAAACGTTTAAAACAAGAACAATGGGACAACTTTCTGCTCACAACTAAATGACAAAACTGAATTGAATCGACTATTACCGTGGTCGATACTGAATCTGACTCAGAATTTCCTGCGAAACTGCGCTAGGGCTATCTGCGCTAGCCGTTATTGATAAACTTTGTGTCCACCGGCAGATCTTCTCCGCGGTACGGTGTCTGCCACAGGTACGCGGAGAGCCTCGGCATCAACCCTCGCTCACCCGCCCCGTCGATGTCGGGTCCGTGGAATAGTCGACACCACTCTTTTACTAACGAATAGTGGTATTGAGCGTAACATTATAACGCCCGCAAGGCTGAAAGGGGCGAGCACGTTCGATGTGACGGTGATTCGAACCCACAATTTGCGAGTCGAGCGCCCTAACCACCAGGCCGTGCCATCGATATTGAACCTAATTTACAGCTAAATCACGTGTTTAAAATATAGCATGTCGAGTACGAATCGAGGGCCCAGAGTTCGAAACATAACACTGTTGAATACACCTCCCCCAATTTTCAGCTGTGGGAGTATTAAAACAGTGGAAACCAATCCTGCTATTCGGTTTAAAAAGCTGCTGGCTGACTTTTCCTCTGGTCAGCAGTTCAAAATTAGTAATAACTACGCACTAAAAGTGTCTACGAGTTTCCATTCTTTACTTGGAAGAGGTGAAACTTCACAAAATTGTACTACTGAACTCTAGAAAATACTACACTTCACCTGTTATAAATTTATTCCCCCCCCCCCCCTCCCCGTAAGCTTTCTTTAGTTCAATAAGTTATGTCATCTTTCATTCACAAACATACAAATTTTAGGCCAATAAACTACAAAGTTTGAAAGCTAAAATGCTAAGCCATAAAACCAGTATCAATAATTCTGCAAAGTGTAACATCGTAAGGGAGTTTTTTAAACCAATAAGATGGAGCTCGTGGGCACGAAGAAATTTGAGGCTTTTTGAGAGGGAACTGCAGTTACATCTTCTGGCAAGCAGGAGTTGTGAAGGAACTGTAGATACTGTATATTTGATCTCTAATAGGGAACTGCAGTTACATTATCTGGCAAGCAGGAGTTTTGAAGGAACTGTAGATACTGTATATTTGATCTCTAATAGGGAACTGCAGTTACATCTTCTGGCAAGCAGGAGTTTTGAAGGAACTGTAGATACTGTATATTTGATCTCTAATAGGGAACTGCAGTTACATCTTCTGGCAAGCAGGAGTTGTGAAGGAACTGTAGATACTATATATTTGATCTCTAATAGTATTTATTTCTTATATACAAATTTCTTAATTTTTTTTTTGAGTTCTAATTTTGGAACACGTTAAATCCGGTTGAGGTCGTGTCCAAAATTCAGTCTTATTGAGCTTGACCGGGCAATGAATTTATCTATTTTATTGGTGGGTTGTTGCATTGATCTTAAGTTTGGAGAAAACCTTGATATCTTCGCATTTTGACGCCCTTGTTGTTTTTTTTGTTGGCCAGCTACAGCGAGGGTGTATATTGTGAACGCACTTTTAGTGGTCTTAATTAGAGATTCGTTCCATTTTTCGAGGAAGGCACTTCGTTTCCAGATCTTTCAGAACTTTCTAAGAAAGTCCAGTCTTGTATCGCTGATCGTGTACATTTTAACTCTATATTAGTTTCATGTTCATGCTTTTAATATCGTCTTCTCAACCTGGAAGATATTGTAATACCAACTGGACAGTGTTTCTCTACCATAAAAATATTAAGTACACGATATGCATAGGCCTACGAGGCGGGTTTGGGGGCAGCCCACCCAACCACCCTAGCTTGCAATACATACAGCCATTCGGACAAAATTAGAAGCAGAAAATATGGTGATTCGGGCAATTTTTACCTCATTCGGACAAAAACTGGTAAAAGTTTCTTACTCATAACCTCATTCGGGCAAAAACTGGTAAAAGTTTCTTACTCATAACCTCATTCGGGCAAAAATTGTACAGCCATCCTCTGAAAAATCCCACGTAAAGTTCGTAATACAGAAATAGTGAACTATCAGAACGTAATATACTAAACTCTGTTAGAATTATCATGATTAATTATGTAACCTATGCAGTGCATTGATAATATCAAATAATTGCAATATTCTGCCTGTGATTAACAAGGTTCTACACGTATATCAGTAATATCACTGTTGCTAGTCGGGACGTTTTTTTAATGTGTTTTTATGTTACTTATCACGTGTATTTTAGTATTCTAGTTATGATATTCCTTATCTCTCCTATTAATTTTTTTTATCTGTATTACACATGTTTAAATTGTTTATAACCGAAGTTCTGAATGAGTTTTTTTTTCATATAGTTTAAATTTATGTGGATTTTTGTTTTTTACTATGGTGTAAACTCTGTATCTTGAATTACATGAAAATGTTTACATGCGCATGTAATCAAACGTAACATATTCAGTTTATTGTATTTATATAATATTTATGTTATATAGATGATTCTTCTCACACTTTACATGATATGGAGAAAAGTGAAGCTTTTGAAAGAAAATCCTGAAAAAAGATCCCCAGCCAATTCTTCTGAAGCCACACCATTGTTAAGTAACTCCAAATGTACCACTTTTACGCAAACTCCAGAGTTATACACATGTTTTTAGTGTATATTTTCTTACAAAAGTTATATTGTTTTTAAAACTATACTTAATAGATAATATGTTTATAACGTTGGAAAAGCTGGATCAAAGTTTTTGTCTAGCTATTTTTGAAATTACATTAATTAATTGCAATGTTTAATTTACGTTGATGTGAACATTGCCTTTGTTAGAAATTTTGAAAAATTAAGCAGTTCTCGGCACTGCTTACTATGAGTATTTTTAATGGTAATTATTTATAGTGAGACATTCTGGACTTCATTTTCTCTGGGCCTTTCGAGCTACACGAGTATGTATGGTGTTTTGAGTTGACTTCCTTAACTCAATAAAAACTGGTGAACAAAAAGATAGATTGAGCTACATATGTATTTTAGTAAAGTACTACATGTTTCGTTAACTATACACCTGGAAAAAAGTTAAGCACCCCCAAATATTTTTCAGGATTGCTTATTGAAAATAAGGTTTAATTTTC